GGTGCCTGGGAAAACCTGTTCATTTGTGATTATAATCAAGACTGTGTTAGCTTTGAGATGTATCCGGCAACAGCAGGTTCTGGCCACATATGCCATATGGCACTTAATCCAAAAACGCAAAACCACAGACTTTGGGGCAAGAAATAGCTTGAGGCAAGATGAAAAAGATCATAGATATATCAAAAAAATTAACGTGGCCGCAATTCGTCTACAGACTATCGTCAATGTCTTGAATACTTCACATCTGTTTGATTCAGCAGTGATATTTAACGTAGTTACTACATGTATCTGATGTTTGAATGCATTTGGTATTCTGTAAATATGTAACGCTTTCAGTACTCCTGGAAAAGTTAGACGTAAATACTGGGTCATACTGCAAATTGCTTTAACCTTTTCACCACCAGTTCCCTGTTTTCATCACACATTCACAAAATAGTCTGCACTTTCCTTCAGAAGTTTGGGACAAAAATAGCCATTTTTTTTTTTAGTAAAAACCATAGATCCTCTATGGAGAGGGTCTATGTAAAAACTAAAAATTTACTAAAATTTTGCCTGTTGACCTCAAAATTAGGGTTCATGAAATAAAGAACTATAATAATATTTTCAAAGTTTGTTGTTATTCATTTTCATTTTTGTTTGCTTTAACTTTTCCCATGATGCAATGCACTAAACAGTTTGTAAATGCTCCAAAGTTGTGCATGCACTTGTATTTGAGACACTGAGAACAAACAACTTTTGCATAAATGTTAATCAGGATCCAATATTAAATATTTTCAGCAAGAATTTACATGAATATTGTATTGCCTCGTTCTATTAACTTCATTTGTTAAAGAAAGGTAATTTGCATAGATACATGGATAAAAATCAGTAAATTAATTCATAAACCATTAATACTAAATTATTTTTGAAAGTTCATTAATTGGTTGCTATATAATTTCATGAATATTTCACTGTTTCTTATTTAAAAAATTAATATTCATTAAAATTGCATAGGATTGAAGTTTCCCGCTTTGGTCATTTCTAGAGGTCTATTAGTGTCTGAGAATCTCGTGTGAAATATTTAATGGTCTGAATTTGTTGTGAATTGCTAGAGATGTTCAATTTTCAATGCGTTTCACCGAGTCTTCAAATGTTTGAGCTTCCTATTCAATTGGGTGTTCAAATTTTCCTTGCTAACACTTTTGAACACAAAGATATCGTCTCTTTCACATTAGTAAGGCCCAAAGTAATTTGCAAGAAGATCGAATCCAGGTGTATTCTCAAATATTTCACGCAACTCGTGTAAATTCACATAACGTCTAATATACCTCATTAGTACCTAGATTTCAATAAAGCTTTTATGAAATGCGTTATTTCTACCGTATTTGATCAGTCTACATGTAGAGTGAAGTGTTCATCTCAAATATACTTGTTAAATTAATATTTTGTTCATAATAATAAATATCAGTATAATCTTTCAATACTGAAATTTTGCAAGCCGCCTTTTGTGTATATTACATTCGTATCTGTGTCGATTTATAAATACGCTGTCATTCAGTTTCAGATACCATATCTATAAAATCCTGTAATATTATAAAGTGTATACTCTGTGTGTATTAGAGAGGATTTCATAACCATGGTTTCCATGGTAACCATATGATTTGTACAGGGACAGAAATTTCTTTCCTACCAAGGTGACAACTTATGGATACCATGGTGCGACGACATCATAAATTTGCGCCATCTTGTTGTTTTTTTTGCCCTTGACCGACGTAGTTCAAAACTTGGACTTATTGCATACGTTTAGGGTCCATCTGTATGTTATAATTTCTCAGACATGCCTTGACCGATTTTATCTTGAATGGCGCAAAATGTTTGCGACATCGTCGGCCTATATTATACCAAACATGATGAATTTCTGATTGCATTTTTTAATCCTTAATTACCAACTGAAGATTAATATCAGAATTTAATAAGAAATTGATCTGCTAGACTTTATAAATACACGTGTGTACATTGTACATTGCGTTTTTGCACCGCCTCCTAATCTCCGCTACATGTAACTGAATTATCCCTCTGATCCACCAGGAAATTGGGTGAAAAGAAACTTCATAACGTAATTTACACACGGACAATCCCTGTCATTCAATCATTGTGAAATCATATCAAGTTCTAATGAGAAGCTGTAGATGTAGGTAAAGTGAATTATAATGGTTAGGGGTTATGCTGTGCAAAATTGAGTGAAAATGACATTAACACAATTTGTATGTTTCAATAAATAAAGCGACAGATATTGTTCTTATCAACTCTGAGCATTAAGGTTATTATTATTTTTTTGTCAGTTTGAATGACGACCTCGGCCTTCTTTTTGTAAAGAATCTGTTAAAAGATTGTACTTCCAATGTTTTTTTCTTTTCTTTCGTAAAGCAGCACCCTAAGGTTTTATTTCCTTGTGTAGTTCTGTGCATGTTGCCATGGAAATCAATTTGTTATTCATGCTCGCACACGTCTACCGATGATCGGTCTCATTTTTTCTTGGGAGGGCAGTCTTACAAATTCATGAATATAATGTTAGAATCATGAATGATTAAAATTACAAGGTTATGCTCTGAATCATCGTTTCAACGCTGCATTTTTTAACACCGGAATTATCGGTTTTGTGTCCTCGTAAGAATCTGAAATGTTGGCAAAAATATGACGAATGAGATGGTCTAGTAACACAGGCACACAGATTTTAACATAAAAATGAATCTAGTTTAATCTGAATATTTTATAACATTTATGCATAATTATTAATACTTCTCATTATCTGAGAACAATACAAGCATGAACAAATACCTTTTGTAGATAAATACGCCACAAACATGGTGAAGAACATGATGCTCCATCACATGAACCACACTGGCTCTTGGTAACAACTTAAATTAGCAATTATATCCAAAACAATTTGAGTGAAGGTAATCTGTATAATATTTCTGTCTTCTAAATTGGATTTTTCCTTGTTAACCATAAACAAGTCTGAGATATATTTTTTGTTGTATATCTGAGAGTGTACTGTCACAGCGATTTTTAACTCCAGATGTCAACTTGTATTACATAATTCTCATGTTTCTTACCTTTAGCCATATAACTGATTTTTTAGCGCCGCTGTTAACACGTCGAGTGGAGCTAATCATATTACTGATTGTCCATCGGCATCCGTCGTCCATGTCAACTTTTTAGCTCCGCTGTCGACTTTGTCGAGCGGAGCTTATCATATGAGTGATTGTCCGTCGTCTGTGTCAATGTTTTACTTATTCGACTTCTTCTTGAAAACTACAAGCCTGAATGCTTTGATACTTGGTGTATATGTACCTTGGGTAGACCTCTCTCAGATTTGTTCATTTCATGATCATATCTTCAATTCTCTAATTTTAGTGAATATTTTTGTCATTTTTGGTAAAAAGTGATATTTTTGACTTCTTGTTAAAAACCGCAAGTCCAATTGCTTTGATATTACATATGTAGGTACTACATGTGGACCTCTCTCAGATTTGTTCATTTTGTAATGATATCTTTAATTCTCTAATTTTGGTGAATATTTTTGTCATTTTTGGTAAAAAGTGATATTTTCAACTTCTTTTTAAAAACCGCAAGTCCAATTGCTTTGATATTACATATATAGGTACTACATGTGGACCACTCTCAAATTTGTTCATTTCATGATGATATCTTTACTTTCTA